TCATCAGGATTCTGGGTGCAATTTTGTTAACACTAGTTGTAAGATGTTCGCTTTAAATTAAGTTTTGGATGACTTTTTTTTTTCATTTCAAGGTCAGCAACGCGTTCTTCTTTATGCTTTTCCCAGTTTCTAGTTTTATTTAGTTACAAACTTAGCATAGATGGTTGTTGCTGCTGACCGGCTGCCATTCCTTCTGGTCAGTTGTTCAAAATTAGGAACAGCGGCAGATAGCCTTAGTAGTTTTGACATAAAAAGAAATACAGTGCAATTATTTTTATAGTCTTTTTTCAATATTCTATTGTAGACATTGGTTTGATTGGGTTGTTGTTAAGCGCAAAGCTACACAACGGACTGTTTATGCTTTGCCAACCACAAGTATGGAAACCCGATTTTTATCATCATAAGCCTGCAGACTTACGATTGAGCCACTATAGAAAAGCAGCCTCATTTTTAAATGGACATTGTTATTGAACCCATAAACTATACGTTTTGCATCTGGTTGGTGGTCACCTTAGTTTTTTAAACGATTCAAATTATTTTGAGTTTTACCCTTTGGTTCGGCTTTCTCTTATCTGCTTTAGGTTTGTTTGTAACAACACAACGCCTCATTATTTGCCCCGGCTTATTAAACATCAAGTTTTGTCTTTTCTTGCCTCAAACTAATTTCAGGTTTCTTGGAGAATCTGTAAAAGGTTTTTGATGAACTTATGTTATAAATGGTTTACATTGCAGCTGGAATATGTTTACTCCAAACGATTGTGAAACATCTTTCTCGTCAGATTTTATATACAATTTATATTAAAAAATACACAAATAATTACTTCGATCAAACGTAGGGTACAAAGCCCTGTTCCCCTTACAACGATTTTAACCACCACTTTGCATTTTCAGTAAACTTAGTTAGTTTTTAATCACTCTTTCCTACACGTTCAAAACCTACAGAACATTCTAGATTGACGAACGACTTAGAACAAAATACTGTGATTAACTGGGGAGAGAGTTAAGAGTGTTGGAACGGAATATGGAAGACAACAAAGTCAAACAGCTTGCAGGCATCCAATATCTGTAACAACCATAATGTCATTACACGGCTCGTGCTTTGTTGGGCCCAAACCTGTCACCACCACATACTTTGCAGGAATCTAATATTACTAAACTATAGCAGGCAGTATTTGTTAGACGCAGTGCATGTTGATGACTAGGTGATAAGTTGAACTAATTACACCAGTGTGATCCATTTCACACATACACACACGTGATGGCGTGCTTTCTGCGAAGAATTTCGTTCATTCTTACTATTCCTGTTATGTTTAATATGCCGCATAAATGACACCTTGCAGTCTATCGCATCACGAGGCATATCATCTTCATGATTCACGAACTTTCCACAACAAAAACACGAGAAAACTAGAATTACAAACAGGCAGACATCAGTTTAAACAATGCGGATTCCCTACCCCCAATTATTTGAAACTTTTAAAGTGATTTTTACGTCAAGTGGTCGTTCTAAAAACCTTCAACGATGTATACGATGTCAGAATGAATTCATCAAACTACACAGTCTTAAAATTGTACTTGTTTAACTAACATTTATCACAACCAAAACAAATTCATCAGGCTCAACAGTCTTAAAATTGTACTTGTTTAACTAACATTTATCACAACCAAAACAAATTCATCAGGCTCAACGGTCTTAAAATTGTACTTGTTTAACTAACATTTATCACAACCAAAACAAATTCATCAGGC